TAGAGGGGGGCACTGGCTTTTAAAAATCCTTGCTTTGGCTGCATTTTTATTTTGATGGAAATAAAATTCACAGGAAACTCTCCAGAGCTTAGGGGGCACCCACCCCAAGGCCAGGCACTTGTCCCGGGTTTGGGTGGATGGGGCAGGATGGGGGGATGGGGGATGTATGTGCAGCTCCCAGCTGGACCAAGGCAGGCTGGCTTTCTCATCAAGTTTATGGGAACTTTGGCTTGGAAGGGAGGGGGAGGGGATGCTGTGACCTGAAATCAGGAAGTGGAGCTAAGGCAGCCTGGGGGAGAGAAGGCTGGGCATGGGTAATGCTAGGAGCCACAGACTGGCATGTGGCTGCTCCAGGGAAACAGACTGAGACCCTGGCTAGAATAGAATGGCTTCCCTGCTCTCAATTTCACATCTGGAGCTGTTAGTTGATTAGTCAGCTCAATGTCCCAGTGCCTCTGCCTCCTGACCCCTGACCTCTACCAACTGTGCCTCTCTCCCCACTATTCAGCTGCCCTCCACATTCCCCTGAGTTCCTTCCATTCCCTCAGGGTAGCTCACCCCATCCATCTGCATTTCCCCAGCTCCCTCCAAATATCCTTTCTGGGCCCTCTAGGTTGCTTATGGAACCACAGAGAACAGCCCTGTGACCTTCATGAACTTTCCCGAGGACACCGTGGAGCAGAAGGCCCAAAGTGTGGGCAGAATCCTGCCTCACACAGAGGTGAGCCCCAGACCAGGAACCCCAGACCCCACCTCCTGCAGAGACTCCTCATCTTCCCCACAGAAGGGGCTTTCTCTGTGGGCCAAGACCTGAGAGGAAGAGCTGAGCAGCGGCCATGAGCAGCTGCCAGCTGAACTTCTCCACAGCCTCCCTTCCTGTCTGAGGTGTGTTTTTGCCAAGCCCCACTGTCTGTTTTGGGGCAGCCAGGACAGCCTCAAAGAGGAGCCAGAGCACAGAAATTTTTCCTACGCAGCTCTTTCTCTCCCATAGCCCCCCTACCCTCACTTCAACAAAGTTCCTCTTTTCGCTTGGTGTAAACACTGAATTTCCCAAGCTGCCTGTCCCTTTGGCGGTCCCTTGCACCTCAGGGCTGACCCAGATCATCTCTCACTCTCAAATTCCCAACTGTGACTCCTTTTCTGCTCTATCACTGGTGCTTTATGCCAGTCCACACCTGGTTTCCCTTGCCCCCTTGTGCCTTTGCGCCTCTGAGGTCACTGCCAGGGTGCCCCAGCAGCTGCTTTCCCCTAGAGTCAACCGCCGTCCTGGTGTGAATCTTTCCTGCCCTCCTCCCTGGAGTGAGTGTGCAATAACATTAGCCCCTTCGCATGCATCCCACAACCTTGCTGCCACTTGGTGGAATGCCCACCTGTGAGGTAGACAGAGCCAGCATAGTTCTCCCCATTTCACAGAGGTGGACACTGAGGCACGCAGAGGCTAAGTTTTCCTTTCACATTGGCTTCGGCCCATTTCTCCGCTAGGCTTTCAGACTCCACCTCTCTGTCGCCTCTCCGGTTCACATGGCCTGGCCACACCACCCTCTTTGGCTTCTCTATTTGCTGCTTAATGGGAAGTAAGAGAACACTCCCTTTTCTTCTGCAGTTTATAATTCTTCAGCCTGCCTGGCCCTCCATAGGCCTCCTTCTCTGTGGCAGCTCCTGTCCACTCCGTTTCCTCAGCACCCCTGGCCTGGCCCTCACCTGTTCTTGTTGCCCAGCTCAGGTGTCTGATTGGTGATGGATCCACTCTGGCCTTTCTTTCCCTTCTCTGGATCGGATTGGGCAGAGCCAGAGGCTTCATTATTGGGGGGAGGAAAGGCAAAGCTCCCACCCATTCCTGAGCCCCCCATCCTGAAGTGAGAGGGTGGGAGGCCCCCACCTGAAGCTGCCCTGTTCCAGGCCCAGATCATAAACACGGAGCTGGGGACCATGACAGAGCTGAACACACCAGGAGAGCTGTGGATCCGAGGGTACTGCGTCATGCTGGGCTACTGGGGCGAGCCCCAGAAGACTGAGGAAGTAATTGGACAGGACAAGTGGTATCGGACAGGGTAAGAGGGCGGAGCGGAGCAGAGGGTTTGGTTGCTGAGGGGAAGCTGGGGGTCCTGAGGCTGAGCTGGGAACATTAAACTAGAAGAGGGAGAATATGTGTGTCAGTGTGGCCCCTTCACAGACCCGATGGCCACAGTGTGTAAATGGGGATGATCACAGTCAGTACATAGGGCTCCTGGAAGGATCCAATGTGGTACTGATGAGAGTGCCCAGCACAGTGCACTGCAGCAGGGTCTGTGAAATTGGAGCCAAGATTTAGTCACTCATTTGTTAATGGGACAAATTTTCCTCATTCACCTGCCATGTGCCATCTCTATTCTAGACACTGGCACACCAGTGGGAAGCAAGATGAGCAGGATCCTACTCAGTCAGAGAAGGCCTTTAACTGGGAAATGTTTGAGCTGGGACTTGAATGACAGAAAAGAAGCCAAGCCCTGGATGGGTAGCTCAGTTGGTTAGAGCATCGTCCTGATGTGCCAAGGTTGCAGGTTCAATCCCTGGTCAGGCACATACAAGAACCAATCAATGAATACATGAATAGGTAGGACAACAAATCACTCTCTCTCAAATCAATAAATAAAAATAAAATAGAAAGAAGCTGGCTATGAAAAGCATATGTATAGACATGTCGAGAGAAAGAATGTGTTTAGGTATTGGTTTGTTTTTTATCTGCCTCCTCCAGGGAATGTCTTGTTCATGCTGTATCCTCCAGAGTCTAGAGCAAAGCAAGACACATAGTAGGTGGTCAGTAAATGTTTGATGAATGAGTAAGCCAGCTGGTTGGGGCAGAGGCAAGAGGCCATTTCTGGCCTTTCCTTACAGAGACATTGCCAGCATGGATGAGCAGGGCTTCTGCAAAATCGTGGGCCGCTCCAAGGACATGATCATCCGGGGCGGCGAGAACATCTACCCCGCAGAGCTTGAGGACTTCTTTCAAACACACCCGAAGGTGCAGGAAGTACAGGTGAGGCACCCAGTCCAGGCGAGCCCAGGTGAGCCCCAAGAGTAGGAAACACAGATGGGGATGTCTGATCTCTGTCTGTGACTCTGGAAGGTGGTGGGAGTGAAGGACGACCGGATGGGGGAGGAAGTCTGCGCCTGCATTCGGCTGAAGAACGGGGAGGAGACCACGCCAGAGGAGATCAAGGCTTTCTGCAAAGGGAAGGTGGGAGCCTCAATGCACCCCTAGCTGATGGTGCTCTGTTCTTCAACTCCCTTCTCCCTGCCAACCACTCAGCCCACTGTCCCCCTCCCGCAACCCTATGACCCCCACACAGCCTCATGCTTTATCTCCCTCTGGTCTGCAGATCTCCCACTTCAAGATTCCCCGATACGTCGTGTTTGTCACCAACTACCCCCTCACCATCTCAGGAAAGGTGTGTAAGGTGGGGAAGGTGAGGGAGGGACAGGATAGCCTGGGGCCCAGGTGCAGAAGGCCAGGTGGCCCCAACTCTGCCTCCCTCAGGGATGGGTAAGAGTCTGGCAGTAGGATGACCAACTAGTCAAACGCATCCTGGTTTGCCCCAAAGTTTCCTGGCTTTAGCCTGAGAAACTCCTCAGTCTCAGCAAACCAAGATGGTGGTCACCCAAGCTGGCAGTGGCCACAAGCCTGGCTCTCACTCATTTCTCTTTCCTCCAGGTCCAGAAATTCAAACTTCGCGAGCAGATGGAACGGCATCTCAACCTGTGAATAAAGGGGAGGGAGGTCCTCCCAGGCCCTCCCTGCCCTTCCCCCACATCCCCCTCGTCAGTCTTAGTGATTTGACATAAAGAGCTTCTCTGTTTTCTTTGGTTGATGTCTTGCTAGTGTGGTCCCTTGGCGGCTACTGTGGGACGGAGAGGGAAGAAACCAAAGGGAAACTAGCACTTTCAGACCTATTGCTTATCAACGATGGTGCTAAGCACTTTGGTGTGCATTGTCTACTTAATTTAATCTTCATTCAATCCCTTGAGATACCAAAGGGATTCAGTGAGGATTTTAAAGACTATACTCATTTCTTTTCCATATTGCCACCAGATTAGTCCAGCAAGAAGTATTCTCTTTTAATAACAGCTTCATTAAGATATAATTCACGTACCATCCACTTCACCCATTTATTTTTTTTATTTTTATTTTTTTTAAATATATCTTTAATGATTTCAAAGAGAGGAAGGGAGAGGAATAGAGAGATAGAAACATCAATGATGAGTCATTGATCGGCTGCCTCCTGCGCGCCCCCGACTGGGGATCGAGCCCACAACCCGGGCATGTGCCCTGACCGGGAATCAAACCCTGATCGCCTGGATCCTAGGTTGATGCTCAACCGCTGAGCCACGCCCGGCTGGGCACACCCATTTAAAGTATATGATTCATTGGTTTTTAGTATGTTCACAGATATGCACCACCATCATCACAGTCAATTTTGAACATTTGCATCTCCTTAAAAAGAAACTCCATACCCTTTAGCTATCATCCCACATCTCCCTCCCCCCAAACAACCCAACCTGTATGTGTGTGCGTGCGTGTGTATTTCTTGACCCAAGAAATAAGAAGTTCTTCCTGTTTGTAATCTTTATCCCCTTGTCTGTCTGCTCCCAGCAGCAGTGGCCTCCTCCTTTTAGAAAATGAACATACGTTTAGGATGCTCTGGCTGCCACGCACTATGCTAGGTGCTTTCTTAAAATCTTCCCAACAACCCCATCAAGTAGACATTAGTCCCATTTCACAAATGATGAAATGGAAACTCAGGGCAGTTCAGTGTCTTGCCCCAGGCCACACAGCTGGAATTAGAATCTACTTGTCTGACTCCAAAGCCCATGATCTTTCCACTTCCTGGGACAGTTCAGGAGCCTGCTTTCCGAGCCCTTCACCTGAACTCTCACAAATATCATCCCTGACTCTCCTCCCAGCAGATTGGGGGGGGGGGGG